TCCCTGGAGTCAAGGATTCTGAAGCTTCATCAGACATCCTTTGGGCATGTTGCAAGGAGGGACTGGTCCTTGGAGAGGGACATCATGTTTGGGAGAGTGGAGGGACGGTGCAGGAGAGAAAGATCCTTGATGAGATGGATTGATTCTGTGAGTGGAGTGGTGGGAATGAATGTGTCTGAGACAACGAGGTTGACACAGGATAGAATGGCGTATAGGGCTCTTGAACATAGGGTTGCTATGAATCGCAAACGACTCGATAGCACAGAACAACAGGATATTGTTTATATAACACTGTTCATAAAGTTCATTACAATGCGTTCTGCTATTTTTTCTGCGATTGGTGCATTAAGTCAATTCATATTAAATGTGATTATTGACAAGGTAGGTGTTATTGTTGTCATTTTGCTGTGTTTCTGGTTGTTCTTGTTGTTTCTTGTTACTACGGTCCATCCACTTTCCTTTGGTGTCTCTCTGTGAAGGACTTCTCTTAAAATTTTTGTAGGTTTGGTCTTCTTTTCACAAATTCCTTAATTTCTTTCATTTCTGCAAATGATGTGTTTTCTTCTTCATATTTGATAGAGAGTTTTGCTGGGTGTTGGCACTTGTTTTCTTTGAATTTTCTTTATATTCTATCCCTTTGTCTTCTTGTTTGTATGGTTTGTGTTGAAAAATCAGAACTTAATTTGTTTGCTTTTCCTTTATAGATGACTTTTTGCTTTTCTAGTGCTGCTTTCAGTATTTTGTCCTTATCTTTTATTTTAGAGAATTTGACTATGATATATCTTGATGCTTCCCTTTTTGGGTCTAGTGTATTCGGTGTTTGCAGAGCTTCCCGAGTGTGGATTTCTTCGTTCTTCATAACATTTGGGAAATTTTCTTCTAATTACCTCTTCCACAATTTTCTCAGTGATTTCCCTATCCCTCTCATACTCTGGAATTCATGTCATACATATGTTATTCCTTTTGATGTCATCCCACATAATTCTAATATTTTCTTTATGTCTCATCTCTGATTTTTCTTTTAGTATGTTTCTGTTGAGGTTTTTATCTTCCAGTTCCTTCACCTCCATCCATCAAATTGTGTGACCCTGTGATTAACACCCCCTCCACCCATTCTCAACCCTCTGCTTTCACCCTCTTTCCCCCTTGAATCCTCACAGTCATTCTACAGTAATGGTCTTATAGAGCCATAAATTTTTCACACACATGATAATAATAGCTCCACGGAGATTGTTCAGGGAATCTTTTCCTGGAAGGTAGCATTTAAGCCACAAACAAAGATGGGTGAATTGAAGTCACCGAGGTCATAAAGTGGGCTGAGAGGGTGCATACTTGGTAACAAGAAAAGAAGATGCAAAGGCTGGTGGCTGTACCGAGGGTCAAGGGAAGGTGAGCATGTATGGCTGATAGGATAGGGTATAATATGGGCTTTACAGGAGGCCACGTTGCATCAGGCTGGGAAGTACTCTGGTTGAAAAGTGTCTGAAATGTGGGAGGTTAGAGGAAGAGAGTGATAGGAAGCTCACAGAGTCACAGACCACAACCGGAAGACTGTAAAGAGAAATGATGCCTCTGCAGATGAAAGAGGAACCTGGAAGTGAATGTAGACATAGTTTCAGGGCCAAGTACAGGGAAGCACAGCAACCAGGAGCCTGGCTGGAGCCTTGGAGGTTGGGGGAAGCCCAGCCTTTGAGTTCACTCAAAAGAAAAAAACAAACACAAACCTGAGAGAGAAACTGATGAAAATCTGGATGATGGCTCATTGCTCTCATGTTTTATTGTTTTTACTGAGTCATTAATATGCATTTGTTATTTGAAATTAATTGCCATTAATTTCAATGGATCAGTTCTAGACCTTGAAATATCTCATCAAATGATCACTGTGCCTTTCCTTTCCTTTCATTGTACTTATCGATATGCTAGTTCCTTCTCCTTTTCATTCCCTTCCAATTCTTGTAAATCATCCATAACTGTTTCTGTATGTATGTAAACCTTTTCTTAGCTTTGAAAGTCAGTGCATATCTTGTTTGGCATTGTTAATTGCAATGAACACAATGTCTGATTATCCATTTATTTCATATTGACTTTCCTTTCATTCGTTCCAAGGAAGTGTTCATTATCTATCCTTTCATTTACTACTCTAAGTCAACCCCTGTTTGTAACTATATTAAATGTTCCTTCTTTTTTTTTGTTGTGAAATTAGTGAAAGTTCACAGAGGTTGGTTTTCATTCATTCATACATACCCATTTTCCCTCATTCTCCCAATTCAGTTTGTAATCCTTGTCCATTTCTAGATTGTTAATTGTAATACATATGATGTTAAGTGAGCTCTGGTGGCCTAGTGATAAGAAACTACACTGCATTCTCAAAGGTCTGCAGTTTGAATCCACTAGCTACTCTCCAGGAGGATGGACAATCTCTTCCTGTGCAATTAACAGCTTTTGAAATCCCATTGGATAGTCAGATACTGGTCAATTCTGACTAGGTGGTACTCAACAACAACAACAACAACAACAACAACATACTATTAAATGGTCCATTCCTTTCAGATTTTCCTTCCTTTCAGCTACTCCAGCGCAGTGATCATTATCTATTTTATCCTTTTGTCCACACCCTTACTGCTGTATCTATCCTGTTGTGATCACAATGGTCTTATGCAGTAATTGTCCTCTTGTGATTGAGATATTTCAGTCAGCATTATATCTTCCAGACTCATCCATGTTGTTTCATGTTTTACAAGTCTATTATTTTGCACTGCTATATAATATTCATTTGGGAGGATGTACCACAGTTCCTCTATTACTTGGTTTGTTGATGGACTTTTGGGCTACTTTCATATCTTTGTTATTGTGAAGAATGTTGTCATAAACATGAATGGGGATACATCTGTTTGTACACAGCTCTGAATTCTTTAGGCTGTGTTCCAACTATTGGGATAGTTGGGTCAAATTGTATTTTTCAACCTTTTCCCCCTATTATTTTATTTTGTTTTATTTTTTTCTAGTTTATTTACAAAATTCAAATGCAAATTTGAGCAAATTCTTTCAGGGAAGGGGGGATTAATCATTGGGTTGTACAATCTGATAGGTGGGGGGTGAGGTAAATATTTTAACCTTTTAAAAAATTAATTTTAATGAAAGTTCACAGAGACTTAGGGTTTCCAGTCATTCATTGTTGCACGTTTCTCCCTGCCCATCCGCTCGCCCGAATTCACTCTTCTCCTTGAAAAGTAAAAGAAAAACTCTTTCACTGTTATAAAATCCCTCTCCCCAAGTCCACTCCATTGTGGAGCCTTCATTCTGAACTCCTTTAATGACAATAATACCCAATCATATATCTTTTAGAGATCTATATTTGTTCCCATTCCAAAGAAGGGTGACCCAACTGAGTGTGAAAAC